TTTTTAATTTTTTTATTTGATTAGATGTGACAGTGGAGTGAAATCCTTTTGACAGACAGTGCTGAGAGGAGAGGGGCAAAGCCACTAACAAAATGGAGGCAAAAGTGAAACTAAATTAAAATTAATAACAACATAAAATCATGGGCAGAGTGCCAAATTAGTGTAAAGTTAGAGCAGAATCGGATGTGGTAACAAGTCAGAATTGGAGACAGCAGGATATCAAGTGTTGTTGTTATTGTTGTTGTTGTTGTTGGGTGCCATCAAGTTGGTTCCAACTCATAGCGAACCTATGTGCAACAGAACGAAACACTGCCCGGTCCTGCACCATCCTCACAATCATAGTTATGCTTCAGCCCATTGTTGCAACCACTATGTCAATCCATCTCATTGAGGGTCTTCCTCTTTTTCACTTACCCTCTTCTTTACCAAGCATGATGTCCTCCTCCAGGGACTGGTCCCTCCTGATAATATGTCCAAAGTATGTGAGCCGAAGTCTCGCCATCCTCTTCTCCAAGCAGCACTCTGGCTGTATTTCTTCCAAGACAGACTTGTTCATTCCTCTGGCAGTCCGTGGTATATTCAATATTCTTCTCCAACACCATAATTCAAAGGCATCAATTCTTCTTCGGTCTCCCTTATTCATTGTCCAGCTTTTGCATGCATATGATCCAGTTGAAAATATCATGGCTTGGATCAGGAGCACCTTAGCCCTTAAAGAGACATCTTTGCTTTTTAACACTTAAAAGAGGTCTTTTGCAGCAGATTTGCCCAATGCAATGCGTTGTTCGATTTCCTGACTGCTGCTTCCATGGGCGTTGATTGTGAATTCAAGTAAAATGAAATCCTTAACAACTTCAATCTCTTCTCCATTTATCATGATGTTGCTTAGTGGTCCAGTTGTGAGGATTTTTGTTTTCTTTATGTTGAGGTATAATCCATACCGAAGGCCGTGGTCTTTGATCTTCATCAGTGAGTGCTTCAAGTCCTTTTCACTTTCAGCAAGCAAGGTTGTGTCATCTGCATATTGCAGATGTTAATGAGTCTTCTACCAATCCTGATGCCACACTCTTCTTCATATAGCCCAGTTTCTCGGATTATTTGCTCAGCATACAGATTGAATAAGTATGGTGAAAGGATACAACCCTGACACATACATTTCTTGATTTTAAACTCCTTGTTCTCTTTGAACAGCTGTCTCTTGGTTTATGTACACGTTTATCATGAGCACAGTTAAGTGTTCTGGAATTCCCATTCTTCATAATGTTATCTATAATTTGTTATGTTCCACACAGCCAAATGCCTTTGCATAGTCAATAAAACACGGGTAAACATCTTTCTGGTATTCTCTGCTTTTAGCCAAGATCCATCTGACATCAGCAATGATTTCCATCATTCCACATCCTCTTCTCAGTCCGGCGTGTATTTCTGGCAGCTGCCTGTCGGTGTACTGCTGCAACCACTTTTGAATGATCTTCAGCAAAATTTTACTTGCATGTGATATTAATCATTTGTTTGATAATCTCCGCATTCTGTTGGATCATCTTTCTTTGGAAAGGGCACAAATATAGATCTCTTCTGTCGACTGGCCAGGTAGCTATCTTCCAAATTTCCTCGCATAGACAAGTGAGCACTTCCTGTGCTGCATCTGTTTGTTTGTCTTGCAAAATTCTGTCATGCGATCTCCGGCATTGTGTCTATGACCAAGGCTATCTTTTCTAAGTAGCTACCTTTCTTTGTTTCCAACTTTCAAATTCCAATCGCCAGTAATTATCATTGTATCTTGATTGCATGTTTGATCAATTTCAGACTGCAGAAGTTGGTCAAAATCTTCAGTTTCCTCATCTTTGGCATTAGCGGTTGGTGTGTAAATTTGAATAATAATCATACTAACCATACTAACTGGTCTTCCTTGTAGGCGTATGGATATTATCCTACCACTGACAGCATTGTATTTCAGGATGGATTTTGAAGCGTTCTTTTTGACGACGAACGCGACACCATTCCTCTTCAATTTGTCATTCCTGGCATAGTAGACAATGAAACTGTCTGATTCTAAATGGCCAATACCAGTTCATTTCAGCTCACTAATGCCTAGGATATCAATATTTATGTGTTCCATTTTATTTTTGGCAACTTCCAATTTTCCTAGATTCATACCTCATACATTCCAAGTTCCCATTGTTAATGGATGTTTGCAGCTGTTCCTTCTCATTTTGAATCATGCCACCTCAGCAAATGAGGGTCCCTAAAGCTTTACTCCACTCACATCATTAAGATCATCAGGTCATCATTAAGGAGATCAACTTCAGACTGCAGAAGTTGGTAAAAATCTTCAGTTTCCTTACATTTGGCATTAGTGGTTAGTGTGTAAATTGGTGTATTGGTGCATAAATTAGTGGTTGGTGGGTAAATTTCTGGGTTTAGACAGCCAAGCACCTCCAGTGCTGCTTCCTTTTGTTGAAACATCTCAACTGGTATTCCGTCAATTCCTGGAAACTTGTTTTTCGCCAATGCCTTCAGTGCTGCCTGGATTTCTTCCTTCAGTACCATCAGTTCTTGATTGTATGCTACCTCCTGAAATGGTTGAATGTCACTAGTTATTTTTGGTACAGTGACTCTGTATATTCCTTCCATCTTCTTTTGATGCTTCCTGCCTCGTTCAATATTTTGCCCATAGAATTCTTCAAAATTGCAACTCAAAGCTTGAATTTTTTCTTCAGTTCTTTCAGCTTGAGAAATACTGAGTATGGTCTTCCCTTTTGGTTTCTAACTCCAGGTCTTTGCATATTTCATTATAATATTTTACTTTGTCTTCTTGAGCTGCGCTTTGAAATCTTCTGTTCAGCTCTTTTATGTCATCATTTCTTCCTTTCTCTTTAGCTGTTCGATGTTCAAAAGCAACTTTCAGAGTCTCTTATGACACCCATTTTGGTCTTTCCTATCTTTTTAATGACCTTTTGCTTTCTTTGAGTATGATGTCCTTGATGTCATCCAACAACTCTGCTGTTCTTCAGTCGTTAGTGTTCAATGCATCAAATCTAGTCTTGAGTTAGTCTCCAAATTTAGGTGAGATATACTCAAGGTTGTATTTTGGCTCTCATGGACTTGTTTTAATTTTATTCAGCTTCAACTTGAACTTGCATATGAGCAATTGATAGCCTGTTCTGCAGTCAGCCCCTGGCCTTGTTCTGACAGGTAATATTGAGCTTTTCCACTTTCTCTTTCCACAAATGTAGTCAATTTGATTCCTATGTTTTCTGTCTGGTGTGGTCCAGCTGTATAGACACCTTTCATGTTGTTGAAAAAAGGTATTTGCAATGCCTTCAGTGCAGCTTGAAGTTCTTCCTTCAGTATCATTGATTCTTGATCATATGCTACATCCAGAAATGGCTGAACATCGACCAATCCTTTTTGGTACAGTGACTGCATATTCCTTCCATCATAGAACTTAGATCTCTCTTAATACAGTACTTGTTGAATGATGTTTATGTAGAAAAAAATGTATATTTATGCCCCAAATGCTCAACTCAATATTTGTTTCAAAATTATGTGCCAAAAATGTTGTGAGTTATATCCAAATATAGATGACAGATGGTAAGGATCAGATACAGATATTTTTAAAAGATCGGAAAGTGTCAATAAAGGAGATGTGAGTTTCAGAATCCATGCTACTGCACGGGCACAAAGAAACTGTCCAAAACCATACTAATTATTTAGTAATCATGAAGAAGTGTTAACCTTTTACATTTTAACATGATAGATTTACTCAATAGAAAATTTATATTTATTTTATTTTACTTTTTATATTTTAGAACTTAGTTGGAGATTTTGGGTTAATGTGTATGCTTTATAAATTTTCCATTTAAAATAATAGGAAATACAATGGACAAATGTATAAACAAATTATGGTATATCCACACAGTGGAATACTACACAGCGATAAAGAACAATGATGAAGCTGTGAAACATCATATAGCATGGTGGAAGCTGGAACTTATTATGCTAAGTAAATTTAGTCAGTCACAGGGGGACAAATATTGTATAAGACCACTATTATAAGAACTCAATGTTTAAACACAGAAGAAAACATTCTTCGATGGTTACAGGGGTGGGGAGGGAGGGTGAGGGTTATTTACTAACTAGATAGTAGATAAGAATCATCTTAGGTGAAGGGAAAGACAGCACACACTACAGGCAAAGTCAGCACAACTGGGCTAAAACAAAGCTAAGAAGTTTCCTGAATACAATCAAAGACTTCGAGGAGTAGAGTAGCAGGGGCGGGGGTCTGGGGACCATGCTTTCAGGGGACATCTAGGTCAACTGGCATAACAAAATTTATTAAGAAAATGTTCTGCATCCTACTTTAGTGACTGGCATCCAGGGTCTTAAAAGCTTGCAAGCGGCCATCTAAGATGCATCAATTGTTCCCAACCACCTGGAGTAAAGGAGAATGAAGAACACCAAAGACACAAGAAAAGTAGTAGCCCAAGAGACAGAAAGGGCCACATAAACCAGCGACTTCATCAGCATGAGACCAGAAGAACTAGATGGTGCCTGGCTACCACCAATGATTGCCCTGACAGGGAACACAACAGAGTCCCTGATGGAGCAGGAGAAGGTGGGGCACAGAACTCAAATTCTAGGAAGAAGACCAGACTTAAGGGTCTGACTGAGACTGGAGCTACCCTGGAAAGCATGGCCCCTGGATTCTCTATCAGCCCAGAACTAAAACAGTTTTTGAGGCCAACTCTTCAGACAGGGGTTGGACTGGACTGTGGGACATAAAGTGATACTCGTGAAGACTGTGCCTCTTAGTCAAGTAGATACAAGAGACCAAAGGGGCAGCTTCTGTCTGGAGGTGAGAGGGGAAGGCTGAGAGGGTTAGGAGCTGGTTGAATGGACATGGGGAATCAGGGGCAGAAAGGAGCAGTGTGCTGTCACAGAATGGGGTGAACAATTAGGGTCACATAACAATGTATGTATAAAAATTTTTTATGGGAGACTAACTTGAAATGTAAACTTCATTTAAACTACAGTAATAAAAAATAAAATAAAATAATAGTAAATAGGTTCCCCGTTGGTATTTATGCAGAATGCCCAATTTTCAGGAACAAATTATTCATATTAAGCCTAGAATTTTATTTTTAAAATAGAGCATCACACTTTATGTTAGCTTCTAGGACTTGCTTTTTTCCACCAACATTTACGTTACCAATCTTTACTCATGCTGTTGAGTATAGTTATCCTTCATTATAGTTTATTCATTTTGAATGTCATGTAATATTTAACTGAGGAAACATATCACAGATTATTTAAATATTCTTAAAGGGCATTTCAGTCAAGTTTTTTCTACTACAAACAGTTAATAGTATTGTTCACATTCCCTAATATACAATGGCAATGCATATGAGTGCCGTGCTAGATAACTTTCAATTTTGCCTTCATATTCAGTCTCCACACTTCCCCAACCAGCTCTATGACCCAGAAGACTTGCTTGCCTCTGACTTTTGGTTGAGTTTGGCCAAGAAGGAGACCTGCAAAGAGATGTGTGTGTGACAGAGAAGAAAGAAGGGTGAGGTCAGGGAATATATTTTTATGACTTTGTTATTTCAGGGTCACCACTGGCTATGTCCCTTCACCAAATGTCACAGCTCCTCTTATTGTGGACCTCTCCACATCACTCTCTCTTTCTGGATTCTAGTAACCTCACCAGGGGTGACAAAGTCTGTTACTAGCCCCAGGGTACTGCACTAATCTTTGTGGTTTTCTTATATTGTGACCTCGCCTTTGTAAGTAGTCTCTTATTAAATTCTCCTTGAATTATCTTAATCTGAGTGTGCCATATGTTTCCTGGTGGAACCAGACTAACACATATGGTTAATCGTTTATGTGAATGTTCAACTTTACAACACAATTTAAAATATTTTCTAAAGAGTTTATACCAATTTAAACTCAAACCAGAGATATATAAGAGACACTATTCATCTACACCTCTTCCAACTCTTTGTATTTTCTTATTAGTTTTTCATCATGGATATAAAATGGTATATTATTGGGGTTTGATTTGTAGTTCTCAAATTATGAGTGGAGTTGAGCATCTCTATAAAAATATGTTTGTTAGATGTACGTGCTTTTTCTGTGAAGGCTTACTCAAATATTTTATCCATTTTTGTCTTTTTCTAACTGAGAGTTGTTTAAATAGTCTTGATACTACTGTTGTATGTTATAGGTATTTAAAATATCTTCTTTAAATTCTTTTTTCCCATTTTTTATAGTGTCTCAACGAACAGAAGTTCATAATTTTAGTGTAGAAGAATTTTTCATTATTTTCCTTCTTGGTATACATTTTTGTGTCTTTTTAAAGAAATCCTGCTGTTGTAGTCAGCTTCCAAGGTGGCACCCAATGATTCTCACCTTCTGATATTCATCTACCTCTACATCTCTTGTATAATCTCTTTTATTATGTCAGGTTTGGTCCATGTGGTCAGTGGAATGTGGTGGAAGTTATGATGTGTAACTTCTGAAGCTAGATCATAAAGGATATTGCTGCTTTTACCTTGCTGTCTTGGACCACTTGCTCTGGTGGAAGCCAACCACCATGTTGTGAGGACACTCAAGTAGGCCTAAGGAGAGTTTTATGTGGTGAGGGATTGAGACCTCCTACCAACAGCCAGCACCAACTTGCCAACATGTGAGTGAGCCATCTAGAAAGTAAATCCCTCAGCTCTTGTCAAACCTTTGGATGACTGCAGCCCTCATCATCATCTTAACTGACCAGACTTCTCTATGGTGTTTCAAAGGAGGAAGATCAGTTTTCAAAAGAGACCTCCTTATAAGTCTTCTAACTAACATAATACTACAGTCTCTAGCACAAGGAATGTTTGTGGAAGGAAGTATAGAGAATGGAAAGAAAATAATGAAGAATAAAGGAAAGAAAAGAACAAAGGAAAGAGGAGCTCATCCTATCACTAGTGGAAAAGAGGAAAGTAGATGAGGGGTGATTAAAGGGAAAGAATCATCTGAATATTTCCATTAACATCTATGACACAAGGATCATGCATAAATTACAAGAGAAAATTATCGTTTTATGAAAGATATTAATTTTAAAGATGTTCATGAATAAATTTCAACTCATAGGTAAATCTTCTTCATCTCACATATTAAATTCATTTTTAAATCACAGAAAACGTCATTCCAGCCCCATTTTCCAGGTGTCCAGAAAACTATCACAACACATTGCTCTCCAGAAAAATTGGGTTCTTTTTCATGCCAGAATCTAAAGGAAACAAAAGGTAGAAACATTCTTCACTGAATGCATAATGACCAAAGAGAAACTATGTAGGTTTGGGACTGAACAAAAATGGGGTTCAAGGGAAAAAAAATCCCAATGTTTGCTCCACATCTAATACTGCACTCCTTAAAAACCTCAAGTATAGACAGACTCTTTTACACTTGCTCCTCTAACATTTTCCTGGCTAAATGTTTATGCGATAGTGTAATCTTGGACTTTTTCCCTATAATTTGATCTTCACTTTCTCCACTACATAGAGCCCTTTTCCTGAGCTGGGTTATTGAACAATTTCTTTTTTACTGGCATAAAATAAAGAGGCTACCTCCTTACATTTGTCTCTATTCTCATCAGAGCTTCTCTATTCTCATGGAATTGCCTTAAATTAGTGTCAGGGTGACTAAGTCTAGACATAAGAAGTTCCCTGCTTCCAAGGAATATAGTGTGTGGTAGGGGAGGGGTGTGGGGTGGGACATTATTTTTAGAATTAAAGACTTTATGTTTCTCACTCATTTTGATCTTGAGTAAATAGGTGATCTCCTCAGGTATTATATTCCTCTTCTACAAAATGGGAATCATAACGTTGTTGTTAGCTGCCATTGAGTCAGCCCCAGACTCGTGATGACCTATGCACAACTGAATGAAATACTGCTTGGTCCTGTGCTATCCCCATGATCAGTTGCGGATCAGACTGCTGTGATCAAAAGGGTTTTAACTAGCTGATTTTTGGAAATAGATCACCAGTCCGTCTTAGTCTGGAAGCTCCACTGAAAGCTGTTTAGCATAATAGCAATACCAAGCCTCAATTGACAAATGGGTGGTGGCTGGGCATGAAATGCATTGGCCAGGAATGAACCTGGGCCTCCCTTATGAAAGATGAGAATTCTACCACTGAATCACCACTGCCCTCAGGAATTGTGATAAGGTCCCCACGTTGCTCACAAAGTTGTGGGAAAATCAAATGAGAGAATGTATAATTCAAGTAAGCTCTGTTTTTTAAAATCCACAAATAAACAGTATTGTTATGTGATTATCCCACTAGAATTGAAAGTAGCTCTAGCCTAGATATTTTAAATTCTGTTAATGAGGGATCAATTTAGTTGAAGTGTCTACTTGTGTTTACAGACAGTAAAATGTAATGGTTAAAAGCACCATCTTTGTAGTCAGAATGCCATGAAGTTGAACCCAGTTTCTCATCTTTCTAGTTCATTGACCTTGGTCAAGATACTAATTTTTCATCTATAAAATAGATTCTGAATGCAAAGATGGTTTAACATTAGAAAATCCATCAACGTAATACACCACATAAATAAAAGGAAAGAAAAAAATCACATGATCATCTCAATTGACGC